GGGGGGGGGGGGGGGGGGGGGGGGGGGGGGGCTTCACCGCGCTGCGGTGTGACGAGGCGTGTTTATTGAGGGCGTGGTTGCGTTGCCTTGGCGTATGCCCTTGGTGCCAGTGTCGGCTACAAAAGACGGCGGAGAAAGTAATTTTTTGGCAGGAGAACGGATATTGCTGTATAATAAATTGGAAGAAGGCATGTGTGTGTGATCAGGCCGGGCTGCAAGAGACGACGTAGCATGTGATATCTTGCAGACGAAAAAGCTAGTTCGGCGGCAATATACATCGGGAGAAGCCACGGAGCAAGTAATTTCTTGACCAAATTTCAGCCATAATACAACACATCGGAAGGAGGCATGTGTGCGGTACAGCACGTGCACCATTGGGCCAGCGCTCGGCGTTCAGTTTCGTGCGCTGCCGTCTCGCCGAGGATAAAAAGAGAGAACGGCGATGGGACATGATGTGGTACGAGCACATAGCGCAGTTCGAAAATCGTAGGTAGAAAGCTCCATCTGGTCGGCCACCCCCCTACTGTCGTTCGGTGTACCTCATTTTTTTCACGAGAGTTGAACAGGATCCATCTACACAACAAAGCAGCCAGCCACCCGCCGTGCGCATTTGTTTCAGAACTGGAGTTTGATTTCGACATTTTTCAATTTTTGACCCTTCATGTTCTGATTATTCGAAATATGTATTCCACATTTGGTTTTTGCCATTAAGGAGCTTGTACGGTATTGTACCTTGTTCGCTGTGTGTTGAAGGAATGAGAACCGGTCGAATTTGAAAATCCTGCAACGCTATTTTTTGTTTTCAAAGAATATCTATCAACCCCGGTCCCACCCACCTTTCCGGTTGGATTTTGGTCTGCTTGTCTGGGTAGCAGAAACCCGCCGTGCCCTCCCCCTTCTCTCGAGAGACGCGAACGACCTTTTCGTGGCTGTGGAACGGCTTCGAATGACAAACGCGTTCGCGCCGCGATCAAACACCGATGGCGCTAAGTAGACCCATCCCCGGCCTCACCTTTTCCGCGATGAAGCAAGCACCGCCCCCCTGCACAATGTTAGCACCACGAGCGAAGTCGGAACCATCGCCATCTCGTTGTGGCGCAGTACCTGGCCCGCTACTGCTCCCACTCTATGTATGGTTTCATTTCCCGACGTGTGTGTTTTCAGTCATATTTTCATGTGTACACAAGAGGCGACGCAATCGATTTGTCATATAGTCATCGATCAGGACGCCCTCTGTCGATACCGGGGGCGACGCAGTTTGTTCCCTCGCCACCCCCCCTCCCCCCCAAAAAAACCTTCCTGTTTCAATAATTCACTGTGGTAATCTCGAGAAAGCCGAGAAACTTGTAGTCTTGCTTAAATTGAATGTATTCGTGAGTATTTCTAAAAAGGCACCCACCACCTTGTGTTCGTTCGCAGCCGTGTACGATGGCGGCGCGATATCCGTCGACACCGTCTCTGGCGGCTCCAGCTCGGGGGAGGAGACGAGCGCTTCGATGCAGGCCCTGAATGCCACGGTGGACGACGAGAGCTCGGTGGACCTACTCTGCCAGAACACAACCTTCGTCGGCAACGTTGCCGGCGAGAGAGGCGGCTCTCTCTACTCCAACACGGTAAGACGGGGAGGAGGGGGGGCTACCAGCTGGTGGCGTTTTTTGTTGTGTGTACAGTAGTGACCGATACACCATAGTTTTGCGTGTGTGTCGTCCAGGTTGCTGTTTTTCTGGACGTCTACTGTTTTTTTTCTGACCTCTCGGTATCTACGCGGTCGTTTTTTCGATACATCAGTCGGGGGAACGCTGTACACAGGATTTTTGCGTGTGTGATTTTCGTAAGTGTCAGCTTCGATCGCGCTTACCGGCTGGCCAATGAAATGGAAATTGTCCAGTCTCGAGTCTCCGGCGCCTGCCTTCACACTTACCACCCCAACACAACCAGCCTGCGACGAACTAACACGAAAGGGTTTGCCTTTGTCGCTCTTGTCTTGCTGTTGCTGTCGCAGGATTCGAGAATCGAGATGCAGGACTGCAACTCTACCTCCAACAGCGCTACCCTCGGCGGGTCAATCTACATGTCCAGGAGCGAGCTGGAGCTGAGGAACTGCCTCTTCGTGGGCGATACGGTGAGAACGAGAATGAGAACAAAAACGTTTTACTTTCAAGAACATGACGTGGTGAATCCACTTGTCTCCCGCCCCCCCCGCAGGATAAACGGGGTTTGTGTTTTCGCTCTTTCTGGCAAAGCGCGGTGAGAGATTGCTTGCCTTATGCATACCGTCGTGCGAGGTTTACGAATAAAAGACACATGTTTTCTTGTTTCGATTTTTTTCAAGGCGTTTCCCCGTTCTTTGGTCTCGCGGTACGGAATGCCACGAAAATGCCACATGAAAACGCCGAGCCGAGCCGAGCCGAGCCGAGCCGAGCCGAGCCGAGCCGAGCCGAGCCGAGCCGAGCCGAGCCGAGCCGAGCCGAGCCGAGCCGAGCCGAGCCGAGCCGAGCCGAGCCGAGCCGAGCCGAGCCGAGCCGAGCCGAGCCGAGCCGAGCCGAGCCGAGCCGAGCCGAGCCGAGCCGAGCCGAGCCGAGCCGAGCCGAGCCGAGCCGAGCCGAGCCGAGCCGAGCCGAGCCGAGCCGAGCCGAGCCGAGCCGAGCCGAGCCGAGCCGAGCCGAGCCGAGCCGAGCCGAGCCGAGCCGAGCCGAGCCGAGCCGAGCCGAGCCGAGCCGAGCCGAGCCGAGCCGAGCCGAGCCGAGCCGAGCCGAGCCGAGCCGAGCCGAGCCGAGCCGAGCCGAGCCGAGCCGAGCCGAGCCGAGCCGAGCCGAGCCGAGCCGAGCCGAGCCGAGCCGAGCCGAGCCGAGCCGAGCCGAGCCGAGCCGAGCCGAGCCGAGCCGAGCCGAGCCGAGCCGAGCCGAGCCGAGCCGAGCCGAGCCGAGCCGAGCCGAGCCGAGCCGAGCCGAGCCGAGCCGAGCCGAGCCGAGCCGAGCCGAGCCGAGCCGAGCCGAGCCGAGCCGAGCCGAGCCTCAAGGTGACAAACCGCACAGGACGACCATGTACCGACGAGACGGTACGGTGGCTACAGCAGTACTTATTAATAGTGTTGCACGCTACGGCCGGGGTCGCTGTGTACGAAAATGACGGGCAAGCGCCGATGCGCGGTCAATGCCCTCGGTACGGTTGCCACAGCCGCCGTACGAACAACTGGCTTTGCGCGGTCAATACCCAGCAACTGGGGAACAGCACTGAAAACCGGGTAGCACCATCGTGATTTTTTGTGAGAGAAGAAGTGCGCGAATTCCGTATTCCCTTGCGCGCCCAGCGAATGATTCGACTCCAGTCGCGTTGCCCGACGCTGTGACACGAAACGTTGGTTGTTGCATTATGCTCTTAGGTGAAACAAGTCGCAGCAGTACATGAAGAACTGTCATGACGAACTACACAGCATGGAGAGTGATATTCCATGTCAATAGTGTAGTTCGGGTCGATTGAAACCGTCGCCTTCATTCTCGCGTCCTGTCATGCTCCGTGCTTCTCGAGCTCCATAGAATTTAACGCTCACTGCCGTAAAAAGCGCGAGCGAGAAAGGAGGCCAAATTCACTTGACTCTGACGCACGTTTCGATATATCTCTTGTCGGCTGTCTTCCTGCAGGTGCCGACCGGTGCCATCGTCTACGCCCTCGGCGCCAAGGTACGTGCCCGCGACTCGCTCTTCGAGGACACGACCAACAACACCGGTATGCTGGCTGTACAGGCCGGCTCCCACACCGAGTTTGAGGCTCAGGACTGCTCCTTCATTGGCTGGACCGGCACCAACGTGGTGCGTGGCGTTGTTTCGAGGCAGTCCGTCCGTTCATCGCAAGCTGTTTTTCGCTCTTGTTTTATTTTCTCTCCTTACCTTGTAATGTTGCTCGTTTCTTTTGTTTTCTCTTGAATTATTTCTCCTTTTCTTTGGTCTGTTGTGCTTAATTTTTTTTTGTATCGTGTTTTCTTTTGTTTTTTCGACTTTTTTTTTGTTTTTTCCGTATGTCTTTACCTGTTTACCCTTGTTTGATGATGGCTTTCGTGTGAACGTGTCCAGGTATTGGCGGACCAGACGGGGATGCTTCACTTGGACGGGTGCGACTTCAGCGAGAGCACGGCCAGCGGCATGGTCAACGTACAGGACGGAGGGACGCTTGCTGTAGTCAGGAACGCACGTCTAGGCACGAGCAACTACCAGGCTATCAAGTGAGTTTTTTTTGTTTGATGCATTGTCAAATAGGCATGAGCAACTGTGACGCAAGCAAGGCTATGAAGGGAGTTTTTGTTTTTGAACTTTTCAAATAGGCACGAGCGACTACCAGGCTATCAATTGCTTTGTGTTCTTGCCTTCTTGTTTGTTTAATACACCGTCAAGTAGGCAAAGAGGAACATGGCTATCCAGTGAGCCTGTTTTTTTTGCCGTTTTTCTAAAAAATTCAAATAGATACGACCATCGGCTGTAGTGAGTTGACAGTTGGAGGTTAGCATATATACGGATGCTGTTTTCTGTGAACAATAACAAATCGTTACGCCTTTTTGGTGCCTGTCGGTATTTATGTATATCGCCAGCAGTGAAACAAATCATTTGTGTGCAATTATGTGCCGGGTGTTTTTTGAAAGCGTTCATAGTCTCACAGAAAAACTACCCGTTCGAGATGGGTATGTTCTACAAGTGTTGGCATTTCTCTTTCCGTGGCCTACTTCAGCGTGTTTGTTCAACAAAACACTCTCCGCTGTACTGACCAACATTGCCTTGGTCTGGGTTTGTAGCTGGCCCTCTTCGTGCATACATGCCTCTTCGAACCCTTAAGTGTTCCACTTGAAACCCGTAATGTTCCCCGTGGCAACCGCGGAAACGGTTTCGACAAAAATTCCGTAAAAAACGCAGCTACGGCGCGGACTTGGAAACCCCGTTGGAAGCCGAAAACTCTTCCGTATCGATTTTCGGGTCCAACGTCGCCGGCTGCGAGCTAAGCGGCTGCTCCGGCAACGAGGGATGCATCGAGGGCGACCTGGGCGTCTACTGCTACTGCTACATCTCTGTCGTGGACACTACCTCTGTGAGTCGAGTCGAGTCGGAGTCTTTGCAGTAGAGGCGAGGGTCGATCTCCCGTGTGCGATTATGTAGATGCAGGAGGATGTTTGCGTACAAAGGTAGCAGTGAGAATCGGTTGTTGCAAGGCGTCTGTTGTGGTTATTAATACGATATTTACCTTGATGGTCTTAGTTTTTTCCGTCATTTGTTGCGCACGATGGTGTGGTCTCGGGGAGGAAAGTTACGAGATGCTTGACTGCTGTTTGCTTGTTCTGGTGCAACTTTAACTTCTTGTAACGGAATGAGCAGGGGCAAGAGATCGCAATGGTGTGGTTTCGGAAACTGTCCCAACATCGTGGCCGTACACCTTTCACCCCCCCTTTACGACACGGGCACGTCGAACGGTATGGTTTTGGATACTGCGCACCTTCATCTCTTCACCCCCCCTTGTTTCCCAAACACAACAGACATGCCTCGGGAGTTCTGGCACCTTGACCTTGACGGGGCCAGACTCTGTAGTGTCCACCACCTACCCGGACGCCCCATCCACGTCACTGGTATTGTCCTGGAACGATTCCGAGGCGTTGGGAGCGGACAGTCAAGACGGCGCGGGGGAGTCGGCAGGGGGCGCGGGTCTGTGGGAGATTGTGTGGTTGGACGATCCACGGAGCGTGGCGTGGGTTGTGGTGCCGTCGACCGGGCTCGCGTATCCCGGGGAAGATATTACCGTGAGTGCTTTTTGTTGTTGTTGTTGTTGTTGTTGTTGTTGTTGTTGTTGTTGTTGTTGTTGTTGTTGTTGTCTAACCCCCTACCCACCCCCCATCCCCCACCTTTTTGTATCAAACCCTGTGTTTTGCGGCACGGAAAGGCCACGGGAGCTACTGAACCGCATCAAAATCCGGCGTTTCATGGCCTTGATCTCTATCTGTCTATGGTTGCCGCTGCTGCTGCTGCTGCTGCTGCTGCCTAATCAGATCTCGCTCAAAGGCGAAGTTTCGACCTACTGGAACGGCGAGAGCACGACCGTCTTCACGGCCGAGGCCCCTCACCAGGAAGAGGTGGATCCCTTCGCCACAAGCATCAACGCAACGTTCGTCTACTGCAGCGCGGTGCGTGTTTTCATACCCTCCTCTCTATCTTTGTCGATGTTGTATTCGTCTTTTTTGGTCTTCGTGTCTGTTGCTGGTGTTGGCACGAAGCGCATGGTCCGTTGGCCTCGGTAGTGAAAATACCCCCTTGATGCAGTACCAGCCCCCTTGGTTCACTCAGCGTGAAGCCATGGCAGCGCTGAGACTCTTTAAGAGCTTGTAGCCGCAGGTTTTAGAATGACCTTCAGACTGGGCAGGAAGTTTGTTGTTGTCGCTGCTGCAGCCGAACATCCCCTGCCTATCGCCCATGCAGCACGGCCGTATCTAGCTACACCGAGTGATGTTTGCGTTTTGCGGTTAGGCCAGACACGATATTGCATGATATTGCGATTCGATTCCGTGGTTGACGACACCATAACTTGACGCTGATGTCCTGTGAGTGAATCACCGTGTAATTTGACCTGCTATGCGGTGCTGCAAGATAGGTGTACTTTATTTTACCTATAGATGTATTTATACGTGTGTCGCACTTGAGATGGTTTACACCCTGTGTTTGATGCCGATGGTGCAGCACGCCACACTAGAAATCCATTACACTGTACAGTTACCGCCGCACCTCGAGGTACGTTTTTTCTGGGGATAAAGTGACTTCACTTGTTACCAATCCCGAGTCATCGAAGATCCTGCTAATGGCCAAATTGCTCGGTTGTTCTCCAAGTAAGGATAAATCGGGCAACGGACAACACTCATTTTCACATCCCAGTAGGTTCAAAACCGGGAAGAATGAAGTACGTCACCAGGGTTTGAAATCCCATCCTGATCAGGACTTGAACAAGTGATAAAATACGTCGCTAGCTTCCTCGTGTCGTGAGTGATGTAATGAGTCATGATTTGGAGGGAATGGCGTGCGCATTATTGTGCTACAAAAAATACGCACACGAGTGATGCAATGCGTCATGATTATGAAGGAGGGGCTTGCACACGATACTGGAATACATTTAAATGTGAGTGATGACCTGCGTCATGACTAAGAGGGGGCACTGGCGTGTACTTCATGATCCTGCGAAACAACAACCAACAGGGCCAGTACTGGGTCGCGAGCGAGACCTCGTGCATGATGTGCGCGGACGTTGCGCTTAACCCTGAGGGCCTTAACTGCGACTCCGAGGGTACCCTGCTGGAGACTCTCCCGCTAGCCGAAGGCTACTGGCGCTCCACGGATACTTCGACGGTACGTAGTATGTCGTGTCGTGCTTTATCATGGTTGGCATAATGGAAACAGAAAACAAGTGAAACTGAAGAGTCGATGGCATGTAAGTCATGTTGTGTGTGTGTCATGTTTGTCGAACATACAGGAAAAATGACTGAAACTGAAGTTCCGAGGGCGTGTAGGACATTTTGTGTCTGTCATGTTGGTAAGACTGAAATATTCGAAAGAGGACAAGAGTTACAATAGGGGTCGATTGCGTGGAAGGCATTATGTGTATGTCATGTTCGTAATGATGAAACATCCGAAAGGGAGGGGGACTTAAACCGAAATATCGATGGTATGCAAGCCATGTTCGTCGAAATTACACATATGAAAGACAAAACAAGTGAAAACGCGAAATGTCGATGGCACATTCGTTGAAGCACAAACCGAAGGTGACGCCGACTGGTCGATGGTATGTTCTATTGAACCAAACAAAAGAGAGAAAAGCCAAAATGTCAATGGAATGACCATGAATACACAACCGTAAATGAAGCCTAGGTGTCGACAGTGTCGTCGTGGAGCATTTCATAACTAGCAGTGAAGCCGGGATGTTATAATCTTGAAGCTGAGCCATCGATCATACCACACAGACAGTGGTTGTGCACTGTGCTTGCGGCTGTATGTTCTGTCTCGCGGGCAGATTTCTCCTCCCAGGTGCCGTGTGTGTGGCGCATTGTAACATAGGGCTGTAAACATATGCTGCATGGACAATTTTCCTGTGTTGTCTTCATATGGTCTGGCGGTTTTCCCTGCACGCTTCGGTTCATTCGGGGAGGTTGGTGCCTGTTCGGCCGTGGTTGGACGACTGGATATTTGCTAGTACGTCCTCGTGCTATCTAACCACCTTGCGTCTCTGTCATTCCGTCCAGAATATTCGTGAGTGCTTCAACGACGACGCCTGCATCGGGAGCGAGGTGTCGCAACGCATATCGTCTCCGGACGACTACTGCGACACCGGCTACATGGGGCCCTGTGAGTCGTCGTTGTCGTCCTTGTTGTTGCCGCCGTCTTCATGGTTGCTGCTGCTGCTGCTGCTGCTGCTGCTGCTGCTGCTGATTAGAACAACAGACCAGTGTTGATGATGGGATACGATGCCCATCAATACGGCCCGTTAATTTTCATGCTCTCTGTGAGCGTCATGCACCGCAGCATCTGCCTACCGTCAGGAACGGAGATATTTTCACGGAATATTGAAAATTTGATTCTTCCATCACGCGTTTTCCTAACTGTACGTGCTCTCCTCAAGTATGTTGTGCTTTCCACCGGATCAGTGTTCTCCACAGACAACAACGTGCGTAGGAACACAATTGTACGATTGTGTCGATTATTTAATGCCGTACCTACTTTTCGCCGATTTCGCACTACCATTTCGCTTCCACTGACGACATCGACCCGTACAACTCTCTGTGCCCTTATCCCTTATCATGTACCATAATATGTATGGTATACGTATGTTTGCCGCAGACTGCGCTGTCTGCATGGACGGTTACACGATTGGCGTGAGCCATACTTGCCATTCCTGCCACGGGAGCTACTGGGCCGGGATGGTGAGGGTTTTCTTGTTGTTGCACAATCACATCGAGTTCATCGCTATCGACACAACTGTTTTTGTTTCGTCCCGATATAAATGTTGTTGATGTCAACAAAACTCATCCAGGTTGTTGGAGCACTGGTTAGAGTGCCTTGCTGGTGGCGTCTGGTTTTCCTACATTGGTACTTTGATTCGAATGGAATGGGGAAAAGGTGCACGGTGGTCATGACGTGATGATCTTGTGTCTCCTCTCTTATCTTGGACGGACGTTCAGTCAGTTCGAACCGTCGCTAGGCCTGGTTCCCCTCCCGAATTTCACTCTAGTCTTGTCTTGTCTTGTTCGTGTATGATGGTGGTGGTGTTTCTCTTGGACTGGATTACACTCCTATAACGTTGGTCACGCTCGGTCCACCCTGACGCCATTCGTTAGCCTTCGCGACCTTATTTGACTTGGTTTTAGTAGGGGGTTTGGGGGTCAGGGTTAGGGATAGGGATCCGACCCCCCCTCCTCCCTCTATTCGATAGATGGATATCATAATCCTCTCTCGCGAAGGCGGTGCACCCCCACTTGGTTGGTGATGTCTCCGTTCCTTTTGCCGTCACGTAGCTATCGTCACGCCTGACCCCCCTACCCTACCCCCCCTGTCATTGACGATGAAGGTGGTGGTGATGGCTTTGACCGGTGTGGTGCTCGTGGTCGGAGTGGTGATCGTCCTCAACGATCTCGTGGGGAATCCTGCTCTGACCGACCTCAGCGAAACCCACTTCTCGGTGATGTCGAGGAAGATACGGACGATGCCTTTCCACAAGCTCAAGATTCCCTTCGTGGTGCTCCAGGTACTGCACTAGGTCTGATTCGATTGTGTTTTTGTTTGGTCTCTTATGTGTGGTTCTTGTGTACCAGGGTTGTGTGCATGCTAGCGTACGGCCTCGCAGAGCCACAACACTTGTAGGATAGAAGAAACAAGAAATTACGGAACAAATTGTTGCATTGGTTGACGCGGTCGACATCTCGCTATTTTCAAACTATTTTTTACATTTGATCCAGATTGAAAGGCATATCAATAGTAGACCTTTATTGCTCTCCCTGTCTTTGCTGGTAGTTCTTGTTTTTGCCCTTGATTGTTTGCTGTCTCGCGTTTGTATTATTCACTGACAGCAAGTTAATTCTTGTTGTAATATTTCGA